AAAATGCGGACATCAGATTCTGCAAAGAAGTGTGCGCTTTTGCAACGACAAGTCGAGATACAGCTGCTATCCCAGACGGCATGAAAAAATTTCACCATTCGGCGGCACAAGCGAGTTTTTTGGTATTATTTGCGCAACCGAACTTGAATGGAATTACGTCTGGATCCCACCACTGCATGCCAGGACCGTATGCTTCAGTAGACCAATATGTTTGATGTGTCTAAAATACAAACCGGTGAATTGGAGCGCGAAACGTTTTGGTAGTAAAAGTAGGATAAACCATTAGAAAAATTTTAGCTAGAATATGCTAGGTCTAATATATTAGGCTTTAACTAAGTTTTGCAACTTCCTCCGTAACTTTTCGCTTTTCTTACATTATGTAGAATGGAGTACGAGCTACAGCCTGAAGTAAGCCGCTCCTTTTTTAGAGTTAAAATTTTGAAAAATTCAGGCATTTTTCGAATATTAGTGAAATTCGTAGATATGTGGTTATAAAAAAAGCCGTTTGCAGCCTAGATCACGCACAACGCTCCTTGTACATAGATTGTTGCCAGCCATGGTCTAATTGTACTCAAAAAAGAATGGATTTTGCAGATGAGTCGAGATCTGGCGCCTTTGCGAAGTTGAACGAGTGCTGTACGCAAGCCTGCTGAGGGGCAACCTCAAGGATTAAAGGCAGTGTCCCAACGAAATTTCGCTTTCCGGTTTTCCATCTCGGAGCCTTCTCGCCATGCTGAAGCCATATCTAAGCTTTTCGGCGCTTGAAAACGGCGAAAATCAGCTTCTTCCAAAGCTCTCCGCGTCTACGTTCGCTCCAAATCACGTGTAAGAAGTGGCGGAGTCTGGAAATGGGCGGCGTTCGTAAGACTTCCGGAGCGGATTTTGGGCTTTCCAAAGGCGCTTTTCTGCTCCAAACTCCACTAATAGATTAGTTGGAGGGTCTACCATCGCAACACTGTAAAATTCCGATAATCATCATTCTGTGGGGACGCGGCCTTTAAGATATTGGAGTCTCAGGATTTACACCTAAATTGGCATAAGGGGGGTTACTTGACCTGTTCAACACGAAATCGTATTCATTCGTTCGTTTGATTCCCCTTTTCGTGATTAGGGCAAAACCACATAGCGTAAAGCTGCCGTAGTGTTACAAAAAAAGCCCCACTACACAGATTTAGCATCGTTTTCATGACCAGCACGTCGAAGAACCCCTATGGTAAGTTTCAGCCAAATCTGGATAACCCAAAATCTCCCTATACCGTGTGCTTACCGTAACCCTCACTAAGAAGTGAGAATTTAACAGAACGGTAGCCGCAATTGTAGCTTGAGCCAATGCTTACATAATGACAAGGTTTGAGCGTGTCATGCTCAAAGAGAAAATAAAGAGAAAGTTGCAAACTTAGTTGATGACAGCCCATTAGATATCGTTATGCTTATGCAAATCTGCATATCTTATATATAAAGCTGAATGTCTGTCTGTCTGTATGTATGTATGTCTGTCTGTACGTATGTGCGGAATAGAAATTTTTATTTCTGAACCGATCGGGACCAAACTTGGCACACATATACTTCGGGGCAGGGAGCGTGTCATAGGCTACTTTTCGTTATCGATCGATATCGATTTTATCGATTTTTTGCAAAATTTGAGCTAGGAGGCTGGGATTTTGCACAGGGGGGTAATCGAACATGCTGATCACCCCCGTGGGGGTGATCAGCATGTTCGATTACCCCCCCTGTGCAAAATCCCAGCCCCCTAGCTCAAAACTTGCAAAAAATCGGTGAAATCGACATCGATCGATAACGAAAAGTGGACTATGACACGCTCCCTGCCCCGAAGTGTATGTGTGCAAAGTTTGGCCCCGGGCGGAGCCGGGTATGCCATCTAGTATTATATATAAGGTGTCCCAAAAAATGTTTAGAACGTTTGATCGTTAATATCTCTCTTCCCAAGAAGTCTTTTGCCTTGCTTCAGATACCGTTTTGTAGAGCTGGCTTCAACTTAGATTTCCATTATAGAACGAATCACCCATCTCTCTTCATTACTGTAGGGTTACGGTAGAAACTTCAAAGAGGGTTTTGAGCAATGAAAGGCCATATTTTGCCTCAGAAAGGAAACAAAACAGCCTGAAAACTCTTACACTGGGCTAATTAGAATTGCTGATTATAAGTGTAAAGTTCCCAACTTATTATGATGCTTCATTGAAGAGTTATGCCAGGTGAGAGGTAGCGGCCTTTTTTTCAATGTTCCTAAAAAGTGCGATTACACCGTTTAGAAAGCTTCGTAATCTTGTGAATAGTTGAGTATTGAACTCAGCGTCTATAAAAACCCTATTACACAAGTTTTCACAATTTTTTGAAAAATTTTGAAACGGCAGCTTTTTCCACATTGACACCACATGTTTCAAGTTTCTACCGTAACCCTACAGTAATGAAGAGAGATGGGTGATTCGTTCTATAATGGAAATCTAAGTTGAGGCCAGCTCTACAAAACGGTACCTGAAGCAAGGCAAGAGACTTCTTGGGAAGAGAGATATTAACGATCAAACGTTCTAAACATTTTTTTGGGACACCCTGTATAATTGGTGGACTTGTAAAACGCAAAAATCAGAACTTTTTCCTTACTTACCAAATTGTATATGTTCTTGATGAGTTGGAATGCCACATCGACGTAGGCGTCAAGGAAGTTTCTGAAATATACATATAATTATCATTGAATGTTCATAACACAACTTACCCAGAGAAGTTCGACCACTTGTATTTGGATAGATCGTGTCGACCAAAAGTCATATTCCAGATTTTCAAGTTTCGTGGGGGGCATTCACCATGTGCCACCGCACAGGCGACATCTGCCATTTCCTTTGAATATTCCTGAATATGATGTTTTGTAGGTTCAATACTTATTCTTACTTTATTGTGTTTTGAACAATACTTATTAGCCTCTACTTTGGGTCACAATTTTCTGATGAGACCATACTAACAGCATAATTATTTACATTTCTAAAAAACCTACATGCTGTCTCCAAAACGGAGGCCATCCGATCCTACGTAAAACTAAGTCATGCAATTTTCTCCCATTGGGTTCACCCTTGCAGGTCCAATTTGAATTCTTGATTATTTCTGTAAAAGTCCTGTGCGAAGTGCAGTCGTGCCTTCGAGCCGATAGCACAGCAGGTAAAATCTAAATTAAATTTAAATCCCGGCGTCAAACTCAAACTCTCTGACTTACAAAAAATACGTAGAACTGATGCATGATCCGTCTGGTGAAAGCATGTTATTCTCAGACCCTTTATACGCAACCATGATAGAGCTTTCCATGAAAGCACAGAAGTGCGCGTTCCATTGCACTCGATATTTTGGCTATATCAGTGCGAATCTTTCAAACATCTGATTGCGCTTTTTTGGAGCCAAAACGACAGATAATTGAAATTAAGGCAAGTTCTCAGGGAGATTCGTGTATCAGAGAAACTAGAGTTTTTACTAGAAATATCACGAAAAATTATGATAAAGTTTTTTCACGACAAAGCCCTGTCTTAGTTACGACTTGATTTCGCAAGACTTCACAAACATTTTCTTGTTTATCAATCTCCACAAAGCTGCAATATCTCACAACTTTTTACATTCTTCCAAGAAAAATTTGAGGCGTTTAGTCCTTATATTGTAAGTCTTCTTCCGTGCTATTCGACTCAGTTCATTCATATATTTTAAAAAAGTTCACAAGTGGAAATAGATAAGGGCATCTCAACTATAAGCGACACTCCTACACATTTCTTTTGTTACAGACTATCTTTGATTCCTTTCATTAATGCTGCGTGTAAAGCTGGGGAGTGTGCCGATACTCAAGCACATTGAAACAAGAAGGCAAAGTCAACTCCTTTCAATCAATTATTCCTTTTCAGTTTTACGAAAGTTTTGCATTATCTTTCCCTTTTCAATGTTTCCTATATACTTAGCAGGGGATGGTCCGAACTTAACCCATCCATAACAAACATGTTGTATGTCACCGGACTAGTCTTAGAACGCTGGTTACAAATATATGTTTTTAACCTGCCAAGCGACTTTCTGGAAGGAGTTATGACCATTTGAATGTGCGGTTTGCTATGTGTTCTGTAGCGCATGTTCCACAAAATAAGTTTCAAAAACATTTATTTGAGATTTTGGTGAATGCACCTCTTCCTGGTAATTTGAATAACTATAACCGTTTGAATCCGCGCCATCGGGCTGCCTTTGAAGAAAATATATTTGTCGAAACTCGAAAACTTTCTTATGTTTGAACACTCATAACTTCTCCCAGATAAACGCTTGGCAGATAATAAACATATATTTGACAGAAGTTTTAAGACGAGTCCGATGATATACACGTTGTTTGGAATAGCTGGCTTAAGTTCTGACCATTTCCTCGTTAGCACAATCATATCGTGCTTTTCAAATCCAGCCTTCTGAATGGATAATATGCATGCTATAGAGTAGCCTGGAGTTGTTATCGTTAAAAAACTCAAATTTTCTAACTGTCCAAGCTCTAACTTGTTGGTAATCATGAGCACACTTGTGACGAACTTTTCATAGAGGCTTTCATAAATTTATTTGTTAACGCATTCTTATTACGAAAGATATGAGCTATGGCTACGTCACGTCTGCCTACCTAAACTACAAATTTCTTGATTACGTTTGCAAGACGCAGCAAGAAAAGCGTGTCGAAGTTTCCAGCAAAAGATTCACTGAACTTCTAGGCTGCGTTTGATGAATGATGAAGTTTGTGTCAATAACATTGTAGGTTTGCAACCGCAGCACTTGCTAACATGATCGTCATGTGAACTAAAAATAGTACAATGCTTTAAAACGCAGTGCACTTGTTGTAAAAGTAAACTTGTGGGAAAAGACTGTTGCTGATGAGAGTGGTTCACAATTATCCATCACTGCAAATACGAAAAATATAGTGCATTGGTTTTGCAAAGGTAGAATAGTACGTAGCAAATGGGACCTCGATTCAGCTGCCTTGGACAACAATGTATGAGATGTTATTGTTATGCAGTTTGATAGCGATCAATGTCTGGCGCGGAACAAAGGTTAATGCTCATATAAGGCATGCAACGTAGTTCTTATGTATTAGGCTGTTTCAAAAGTTCTGTCCGATTTTCAGTTGCCTTGTTTTAACGCAGCTATTTTCGTAGAATTTTGCCGTTGTCGCAGTATTATGAGTACTATCTAGAAGCATTTCTCTCGCTCTTTCCAATGCTTGCTAAATCCTGACAAAATAACTTTCCAGTAAGGAATCTTTCAAGCCTTGAAGTTAAGGTACAATGCAATTAAGCTCAAAAAAGTTTCTATAGCGAGAATTTCGGCAGTACTTGTAAAGTTACCTATTTCACACTTTATAATGATTATGGGTGTAATGTCTTATTTTTCGAATCTTTCTTCCAAAATTTGAACATAAACCACTTATTCAACAGGCGACAGCAATCTACGAATAGCGAAAAGTGATGTATTCAATAATGCTTATGATAGAGCAAAGCGAGAGTAAGCAGGGACCGCAACAGCAAGAAAAAATCAAATATCGAAGAGACGGCCTATTTGTGCGCACGGAGGAGGGCTCGAATATTGGGTTTTTTTAGTTTGCTCGTAAAAATTTCTGTGCAGCAAACGTAACTCGAACTCTCTTTAGTTATAAAAGAATCATTGAAGTGTAGGCTACTCAATGATGTAGCCAAATATGTCTGTCTATCTTTCTATTGAAGCATTAGTACGTCAAAGTAAACAGTCATGAAGGAAATCTTGCAAAATTCTCTCGATCTCCTCTTACCTTCACTTGACTTTTTCGCATGATATAATATTCGTGTGATAGCCATAATCTCACATAATCCAGCAAAATTTGATTTGTTAAAAAATGTTGATTTTGAAAAGAGTTATAACATTTTGAATCAGGAAATTGCAAATCGGACAGAACCTTTGAAACAACCTAGATAACTAGCCACCATCCGCGGGCGCGGGAAGTTTCTCATCCAGGCTATACTCTCGCACCTAAGTGATGTGCCTGCCAGGCACATCCGGATTAGCTGTAATTACGAGCTGTTTAGGATTACCAAGACTTTGCAAAGCCTGTCCTCTTAAATGCCTTCTTGATAACGTCCCCTGATGGTGGATCCAGTATTTCTAAGGAAGTTTCAAGATCGAAGGTCAGTAGCGGAATTGTTTCAATCAAGACCCAATTTCGGATTTGAGGGTCTTCGAAGTTGCTCTTTTCAGTAGCGAGATTTATTGGTTGCGAAGTCAAGTTTCCATCGATAATGCCCAAGATAAAAATGCGGAACTAGTAAAAATCTCTTTGACACAAGCCCTTCAGATTCACGGGTTTTCGAAGTTTATGAATGAATTATTGAAAAAAATATTCGTAGCATGAATTTGAATCTGGTTGTTTCCAAAATAACGAAGATGTTTTTCCTTATTTTTGGCACCATTTCGAGCTTTCTAAGTCTACTATGAAGTTTTCTGGCATTGGGACAGCTTCAATGACCTCAGTGACCTGTGATATTTCAAGAAAAACTTGGCTGGGTCACTATCAGTACCTTAACACATAAGAAGACCAATACGAATCACATACTCTGCATTTGATATTTCATTTCTAGGGAAATTCGGTTTTTGTTATGCAAACATTTTTTGTCTCCAAAGAAAGGTTCAAAAAATCAAATTGCTATTGATATTGCACAAAACATCTTTCGTTATCGAAAAGCGAGAACCTATAAACCTGAACTTAGGTCTTGTTATGAATGAGAAACTTGCAAAAACCTCTGAATCCGAATGTTGACTTCGGTTGAGCCTTATCGGCTCTGAACCACTTTGCAACAAGCAGATCTTACTAGTGAAGAGAGCAATGTCGAAAACCCTAAATCCGAAATTTGGTCTTGATTAGAGCAATTTCGCTACTGAACTTCGATTTCGAAACTTTCTTCAAATCCCGGTTTCAGCATCTAAAGCGACACTGGATATGGGGGTTGGGCTTGCAATATCTTGAAACCTGAGGAGCTCATAATCATAGCGAGTCCGGATGTGCCTGGCAGGCACCCCACTTGGGTGCTAGAATATGGCTCGGGTTGAAATCTTACGCTCCCCTTCCCCCCCCCCCCCCTCCCATTCAACCAAGCGCTCCACCAAAACGGAGAATCTACTGAAGTATACGTGAATTTCACTATTGGTAGTAATTTGAAATGCAGCTCATTCTTCTTGAATGTCATAAAGCGTTAGAAGCAGAGATGAACAGGAGGTCAGGCGCAAGTCTTTCGAATACGACGCCCTTCTCCTCTCCCTTAACCCAAATGACCATCTTGTTCCCAGGGCCCGGCACGAGGTTGTCACATGACAAGCTGGAAATCGTTTTTGGGCAAAAAAACAAAGGGAAAATAGTTTTTGTGAGGTCCGGGACTGAGCACCGAAAAAAAATTGATAGTTATGATGGCAAAGCTGAGCCCTTCTCATCTGGACTTGCATATAATGAAATACGCCTCGACAGGCGAAGACTGGAGTTCGCGCGCGTCAAACCGCGCTGTTGCTAATGGTCGCTCACACGATGCTATTTGTAACAGCATACATGACTAGTTCTCAGTGTAAGCGTAACGATATGACACCAAATTTGGTAAGCGAACGGAGAGAGTCTTGTTAAAACGAAGGATGAAAAATTATGAAAAACTTATGTGAACGGAACGAGTAATAAGCGTTTCTTCCGAAAATTTTGCAAAATTGGTAAATGAAGATGTGTATTCAAATGGCTCGTTTGCATCGCGCAGATGACGACATGGTATCAAACTTGGCATGTACGTGGACACAGCCTGTAGGAGTTAACTTATGAGTTTCATTGAAAAATTATGTGACTGAAGGTTGTGGCAGACTTTTTTTTCTGAAAATTTCCCGCTACCAAAGAAACGGAAAAATGGCTCGTTTGCAACGCAGAGGCGACGTAATTGCGCGGGATTTGGTGTGTATCTGCGCAGTAAGACTAAGTAACAAAGTATGAAATATTATGAAAAACTTATGTGAATGAAGAGCGTGCTTAACTTATTTCCAAATTAGCTTGTCATTTGACAAGCTAATGACAAGCTGAGCTTGTCAAAACTCTCAGTTCACATAATTTTTTCAAAATTTTTATATAAATCTCCTCTACACCTATTGTATAGTATATATCAACATTTTGGTTTCAAACTTCCTCCTCTCCTCTTTGCTAGAGCCAAAAATAGCCTCAGGGGAACCGTTATTTTAAGGAGGAAAGCGAGCTCCGATCGAACGGCGTATCGCTGAGTCCTTTAATCGGCGTTTGGTGTGCTGGTGTGTCGCCACTTTTCTGTATTTTCGTTGGTCTTTCTCTCCTACCCCAGCTTGAATCTGAGCAATAACTTCTAGCAATTTATCACCAAGGCGATTTGTGCATATAAAGCAGTCAGGGGATGATCTGGCGGACATTGTAGGGATAGCATTTTTGGTTTTTTTTCAACAAGTGTACTGTTTTTGCAGTATCACCGTTATGAATTGCCACATTGTTTGTGGGAGGATCTTCGAGCCTATGGCTTAGGCAATATGTAGATTTTCAATTATGATTCTTTTGAAAATGAGCTGAATCACTTCGATATCGATCAAAGTTACAAGTACATCAATTATTTGATTTTAGGTAAACGATTCGTCCTATCTTTGCAAGATCGAGCTGGAGGTTGCCAATCCAGAATGTACAGAAAACATTGAAAGAAGTACGTGACTGTTTTTCCTCCTTTAATGTTGCCTTTCCAACCTCTGCGAAATGACTGTATACACTCACAAAAGCAGATCTCAAGTAACAATGAATAAGCGGGTTTATTTCGTCTCTTTTGTTTGCGAAATGTGAATATCAAAATATCTGCTCAATACTTCACTGTTGTGCTAACGCATGCTACATGCTGTTTACCAGGCAAAAACTTGAAGCGGGCGACATCTGAACACAGATCATCATTGCCCAAACAAGATCAATATAATGCATGTGAATACGCCACTCTTTACAATGCACAACATTTTGTAGTCCAAAAAAAAGCACTTTGTGTAGTCTGTCCTGAGCCCGCTTATCGCACACTCCAGTTGATGCTTTTGTATTCTACAATAGGACTTCCAGGAAAACCTCAAAGCGAGAAAGAGAGAAACGCATCACCTAGATCAGTAACAAGCGAAGGTCAAAACCCCTGTGCTGGATTAGGATCAAGGTCTCAGGTTTGTCAAATTGCGTACTTCATTTTCTGAAACTGTAATACTCTATTTTCGTGAAGTACAAGTGTAATTCCTCTTTTTCAACTTGTTTTGAGTGATAAGGAAGGCGCCCGCAAATTGTTTCGTTTAACAGGTTCAGAAATAACGAGACAGGTTATTCCAAAAACGTTTCTTACTTCTTGATTGTCCTTACTAGTACGATTGCGCATTACCCGAATAAAGTTTCGCCATCACTATCCATAAATGCGCAACCTATTTTTTAGAAAACCTAATTAGCGCTTATTGCGAGGTTTCCGACTCCCATTTATGTTTTTTTGAGTTTCTTTCTTTTAAGCCATTGTAAAGCTTGAAGAGCTCAATACCAGCTTTCAATTTATATTATCGCTCGGGTGCGGCTCTCCACCGTTATAGATTTTATTTTTACTCTACTCTTTCGCTTCTTTGCAGTTGCGGTGGCGCGATGATTTAGGAAAAAAGTGCGCATCGTATTAAAATTCGCATTTACACCTTACATCGGCCACCTTTGCCCTCAGGTTTCGCAACTGCAAAATAAGCGTAAGGGCTATATCCATGGCGGTACTTATGATCTCGTAGTTTGAAGAGTTGTTTCTAGTTTAGTCACTGCTACTTTCTTTGTGCGCTCAGCTAGCCCAATGTTACGATCTGTTATGGGCACATTTTCAACTCTTTGTGTTTCAGAAACGAAAGTTTCGGTCTGATGGGCATCCTACCATGTATTTGGACTCGAAGACGACATTGGATTTGATCCAAATTCAAAGGTAGGCAACTTTGTATATTTCGACGTCATTGTGAATGGCATTTTGGTAGCATTCTCAAAAACTATTGTTTTTTAAATAATGATCTTTGGCCAGAATATGCGACATGTTGGATTAGTTGTGCACAAAAGCCTTTTTAGGGTACTATATCGCCCGTAGAAAAGAACCAGCATATCTTTTGAAAATGTGTGAGACCACCAGCATCCATGGATGTCCAAAAAAGTAGATACTATAAATTTATGTTTCTTGTCATGTTTCAAAAGCATTACATTCTACTACTATTCACTGCATGTGCAGTTGTGTCTTGTTTGAGGGATGGTCTTCCTTTCCTTAAAAAAATATTATTTATCCGGAATGACTAAGCGCGCTGTGGAGTTGCTGCAGAACCACAAGGTCCGCGAAGGCCGAAAGCGGAATGTGGGCATCGATGGGGAGACCAACGAACGATGGTGTTTTTGCAAAGAGGTAAGTTTTCACTTTCGTTGAATGTCTCGAAAATCTATATTTTCTAATAGATTTTTGTTGAGCTATTGTGATTCCATTCATAGAGTAGCATTTGAAGTAGGTCTTAAAAAGCACATTGGTAAAGTTCTTAGTCACAGTTCGTGGGTGTGGAAAGGGTTTGCTTCAGAAATAAAATTGATCAATGTCTTTTCAGGGGTCCAGTGGAAGCATGATTTGCTGTGATGCCAGCGATGTATGTAACATTTTTTCCTTTGAGACTTATTCTTATACAAGATGTTCAATTTTTCAGTGCAAGTTCAGGGTGTATGTCAAGAGGCGCGATTCTTATTGCCAGATGAGCAGAATTTAGCACATATTTAGTGTTTTATGAAGTTCTAGAATTACTTGAAGGTTCGAAAGAAATGTGCTAGATATCTGCATGGATTGTACGATCTTATCGTCTTGGAATCTATTCCAAACAAAATCGCTGAAGGTCAGAAACAAAATGCAGTTAATAACAGTTTTGTATCATCTATTCTAAAACTAGGAGACGCGCGACCGCATTGCGGACATTGCCTTAACAAGTTTAACCTTGTTCTTCCCTATTTCCACAAGGTGAATAAACTTGGACGAGGTAAAACAAGTATAAACCTGGTAAGTACGCGATCAGGCTTGTTCAGACAATGTGTGCAATGCGGTCTCGCGTCTCCTAGTCGTAGAATGAATGATAAATATTTCGGTCACTTTTCTAGCAAAAGTCATCGAACTTATCAAGCGGTCAATTCAAATAGCTAGTAAGCCAATGGACTTTGTCCGGCAATTTTTGAACACCCATAGCACGAAACTGCAGCTTTGAGTTGGTGACAACAGCCAGAAAAATCGCGCCTCTTGACCGTCTTCCCAAGTATCAGTGGTTTCATTTTGAGTGCGCAATAAATTGTTTTTGTTTTTTTCCAATAAATGTTCGTCCTTGGGTAAAGTGTTCATTGCGCAATCACTGGGACCAATTTTTGGGTCAGAGGGGAAATCGTAAGGAAATTTTGGGTCAAAGGGGAATTCGTTTTCGAAAACCCCTTTTGACAAGCTCGTGCCGAGCCCTGCTTGTTCCTCTTCACTAGAGCCTCAGAGTGTGACATTCTGGAGGACATCAGCCAATCCTAGGAAAGTTTTTGAATTTTTGATCCAAACGCACATTTTCTGTGACCGCACTTTTACAATCACAGTTAACCTGACGGCTGGTTTTGATCTGAATAAACCTATTGAAAGTGGCAGCACTTCTTAGTTCACCATTCGAAAGCGATATGAAGTCCAGTTTCTACTATAGACTGATAGAGAATACTACTTTGTTATAAGTGATAAAAAGCTGACTTCTTCCAATTTTGAAACTATGGTCATGTTTGTGTTTGTTTGCTTGTTTTTGAATTGAACGTAAAAGGTAAGGGTTTGTAGATCGTAAGAGGTAATTTGATGTTCTACGATGTCTGCGCTTCGGTGAAAGGCGGCAACCGGCGCTTCTAAACGCTTCTTAAGGCTCTGCTAATTCTCACTTTATGCGAATTCCAACTTAGACATCAAAGAGCGTCGCAAAATGTGCTTCTCGAGTTGGGGTGTTTCAGTGATTCTCCGATCAGTACTAATTCAGTATGCAAAGAGTCATGCGTAGCTGGGTTTTAGGGAGGGGGTCTGATCGCTGAAAAATGATTGCTACTCGTTGCTTTGTTTCTCGATGATTATGTGGTCCTGAGCACAAACTTGAGGTTTCGGGTTTGTTCAGTAATCGCTAAAAGCATCAAGTAAATGTCTACACAAGGCATGCTGAGGCGGTCTTGAGTACATAGAAATACCTGACTGGATGAATGCAGTAACTTTCTGAAAAGGATTCGAGCTTTTTGCTAAGCGGACAAGACAAGAGAACCTGTGACCACCCTGTTTTCCTCTGGAAAGAACTTTAGCATGCATGTGTGGAAAAAGTATATAGTTGTGGTTGCCAGTGTGTTTCGCTTTCCTTACGTCAGCAGATGTGGGTAAGACGTGCATGTTTGCATCTCTTTTCACGTAACCTACATCCAGTCTCAAATAGGTTTTTTTTCAGTATAGAGATTATACACTGCCGTTAAATGGTTTCGTATCTTGAATTTTACATTCAGATTGATGGCGCAACCCTTATTATGTCAATGAAGCTCGAACTGCGAGATCCTCCGTTGCCAAATGCTTAGTTGACATGAGAAGGTCTGGATGAGTAATCTACTTTCAAAAAGTGTAAGTTTATCTTTCGCTGTGGTTGGTTTATGGTAATTTTTATTCCAGTCTTATTTTTCTGTGCCGACCTCTGAATGACTTACTATCATGTGTTGAGCTTTTTATTTCATATTGACCTCATTGTAGATATCCGAAATGATCATCACATTTGTTTTTTCGATATTGTTGTCAATAAGTTTTTTGGATAGATTTTGTTGATAATATATTTTTTGCATGATAAAGCATTCGCTGCACAAGCACAAGAACGTTTTGGTTCAAAGGTGTATTCGTGAAAAAACTTCGGGGTCAAAGGGACTTTCAGAAACCCCATTTGCCAACCTCGTGCCGGGTCCTGGTCATGTGCCCCATCTGTCGGCATACGTGCTTGTAGACGCACATCGCAAAAAAATTTATTTTGTTTCACCTCTTTTTGAGTGTCTTTAGAAAGAGTCTTTATGTGCGGGTATCCATTTCTATCGGTTTATTTGCACTAAATCGGTGTACTAACTATAACTAATACTATTACGGGCATATAATACTATTACTATTACTAATACTTCCAACTAAGAGTCATGAATCCTCCCCGGAACGCGCGAACTATTGAGTTGGTGACTTGACTGTATGTGTGGGCTGTTCCAACTCGGACGTTATCGGTAAGATAACTTATGTCGTGACAGAATAACTGATTGACCCAAAGAGGCGCGAAGAAATCTGGATGCTTGCATTATGGTAAGGATCTTACCGCCAGAGCATATAGTCGTCCCGTGCATGCAGATTGATTAGAAAATTGGAGGTTTGGTGCGAAAACCAATAATGTGTATTCTTTTTGTACGGTTTCTGCACAGCATTGACGCATCAAGCTAAAAGAGTGTTCAGAGCATAGAAAAGAAGGAACGCATCAGCAAATTTACTTAGATGTTAAGTGCAACATACTATGCCTTCATAGTGCAGCTGCAATGTGACCAAAGGCACAGCTCTAAAGCAAAATGTGAAACTTATCAATCTATTAGGTTGCTGCATAAGTTCTGTCCGATTTGAATTTTTTGAGTTCAAAATGTCATAACTTCTTTCAAAGTCAACTTTTTTTCAAGATCTTAGTTTCCATGTGTTGAGCAGTTCGTTGACTATCAGACACATATTGAGACCCGCGAATTTCCTCGTTAAGGAAGAAGCAAGAAATCAAAAACTTCACAGCGTTTTTCTTCAAACCTGTCTTTTTTTTGACACGGCGATACTCACTCACTTATGAGAATTGATAGGCATCTTATCTAACAATGTATGGATAGAGAACTTTTCGTAGATTTTGCAACATAAAAGAACACTTAGGGTCTTCGTTGGCGAGAGATTTTTTGACCGAGCAAAAAAAGAAGCCACTTTTGACCTCGCTTCAGCACATGTGTGCATACCTATTTACGAATTATGAAAATTTTACAATTGAGGTGAGCGCAGAAAAGGTATTAATGGATGGTTCCTGCTAGCTCTTTACCCTAGCACCTCCAACTTTAAACTCATCGATTACTTCTGTTTGCGGAAAGTTATTGCTTATAAAAATTCTATATAAAAAATTAATGTTCGACATTAAATTCACTAGCAAGACATTTTCTTCATGAAACCGAACTTCTGCATATACTAACCTTCTACACCCTTATTCCGCAACCAATGAAGAACTTGACTTGAAGGGCGCATTGTGGAGATTTTCTCGCAAGAACATATTAGGTCGTTCCGAAAGTTCTTTCCGTTTTTTCAACCTTTTATAAAAACACGTGGAATTGAGGTAGAGAAACGCTTCAGGCACTACCCAACGCAGCTTTTCTTACTCTTTCTACCAGTCATATTCCCATGTCGCTTACTCTTGTGATCACTGAGATAATCGCCAAAGTTTCGAACACATGGTTTTTACCATGTCCAAATTTGGCAACTTTTCACAATCTTCTTTTTTGACTTTCAAAAAAGCTTTGATAGCAGTCAGATAGAGCAAACAAAGTGCAATTTAACGCAATTTTTCTGCGTTCATGGCTAGCCTTGAAAATTTTTTAGGATTATTTTTCCGATGCTATCAAATTCCACTTCTGGGGACGCCAAGAGCCATAGAACATAAGACGGCGCACAACTAAGGTGTCATTCGATGCAGCTTTTTCTCCTCTTTCTGACGAGTGCTTTTTCTTCTTAGTTTGTGGGGTTTTCGGCGATAAAATTTCCATAAATCTTGATTTTGAACCCGCCTCATGATGTATCCGTAAAATGCGAAATCTTATATTTTGAAGCGGTAAACGCTCAGTTACTTTGTAAAAACAGTGCACAATCATAAACCACTTTTGAAAGTTTCGAAAACCGAAGACTTGTTGATGTTCAGAGCGTTTGTGTGTTTTGTGACTCTGAAAAAGTGAAGACTTCTGAAAAAGTTATCTCAAAAAATAATGAGAAGCCAGCTGGAATTGCCAAAAAATTGCATAAAATTGCGCTTTGTTTACTCTATCCAACTGCTACCAAAGCTTTTCCAAAAGTCAAAAAAGAAGATAGTGAAAAATTGCCAAAGTTGGACATGCTAAAAACCATATGTCCGAAATTTCGGCCATTATCTCACTGAACACAAGAGCGAGCGGCACAGAAATAGATCAGTTCAAAAGAGGAAGAAAAGCTGCGTCGGACAATGCCTGAAGCGTTTCCCTACCTTCATTCCTCGTGTTTTTATGATATGTTGAAAAAACGGAAAGAACTTTCGGAACGACCTAATATTTCTAGGGTGAGAACGCACCTCGGCCACTTGGAGATTTTAGGCCTGAAATCACCTTTCACTAAGGAATTCATTAATTTGATAAGCATTAGAAAAAGCAAGAAAAGCACTTTTTAATGGTACTAACAATACCGCATTAATGATGAAATTCTCTTAGAACAGCTTCTTCAAACATTAAGCAAAAAAATCGGACAGAACTTATGTAGCAGCCTAATAAATTAGCAAGTATCACCGCAAATGAAATCGAAGGCATAGTACACACATCTTTCTTCAATATGCCGTTTTTTTTTTCAACTGAAGTCAGTTCACAGACATATTCTACTTTTAACTTTATGTTTTGTAATCCTTAAGAAATTTTTTTTTCAGCTGAAGTAAGATGGCTGAGAAATCTTGATTTGATTACTTGGCTATGTTTTTGGAAATGTTTGCGCAGTACTTGACCTTTGATATGAGATTCAACAATGCAAAATTTCCAAGTTACTCTGAGAAAGAGAGAGATAGAGAAATTGGGAACGAAGACAGACCACCGCGGCGTGCTCGGCTTTAGTCGGTGGCTGTCGATAAACCATGATAAAACTGACCAATTCTTTACTTCTAGGCATTATTCCGTTTTTGCCGAACCTTGCCCAATTTCTGTACCACTTCCCGGCACTGTGTTCTACACTGTTTACACTGTTCCACACTCTTCTGCAGTGTCACATAAATTCCCCCCACCCTTTACCCTATACAGTGGCGATTCAGCTCAATGTCTGAGAGCATGAAATCTATAATGATGGCAAGGTTTCCATATTCATGTTACTTCCATAAAAAGCATGTTCACTTATCCCTACGCACCATCTTCTAGCGTCCCAACTCAAAGTTTGCAGATAATCGGTAATTTCGAGAAAGGCAATCGAATCTGAAGGTGAGTGTCGCATCCGTAATCACATCCTCACTAAAAACATAAACATCTCCCGCCCGGGAGTATGTTCGTAAAGTTTGATCCGGATCGGTTCAAAGAAATATCCGTTCCAAAGACAGATGTATCCATACTAACCCACAAACTGTCATTCAATACATTTGATATAAGATTCCGCAATAATCTCAAATTTTGAATGAAAATAGAAAACCCAATTCAACGTAGATAACGCTTCGGAACATGGACGAAGTCACATGTAGGAATCATTCTGATAGAAGTAGCACTCTTTCGCTTCTGCGTATCTTCCCAAATCTCGAAATCACGCCAAGCCGCCTAAACTAGTTGAAAAAAACTCCCCCTTGAATGAATTTAGATGAAAAAAGAGAATACCTTGACCGTTGGAAATCTCGCTAATGGATTGAATTTCATACTTTTGAGCACGTCGTTTTCTTTGAGAGGAGGGTTCTTCTGAAAGCTGGTTTAAGAGCCCGCGAAGCTATTCGAAAATAGTTTTGAACCAGTTCACATAATCATATGAAATCACTTTACAAGAATAAGCATTTTGCAATCCCTCAGTCTCCTGGACTTCTACACCGCATATCGTTTAAAAAACCAAAAAATATTTCTACCTTTATGAGAGCACATGTCCCCCTTTCCTTGCCCATCTCCTCTTCCCCCGCATTTTCTTCACTGTCTGTCAGAAGTATGTTAGTATTAGGTTGTGTAATAAGTTCTGTCCTTTGGTTCGGTTTTTTCACCATATTTTGCACAGTTGTAGAATATATATATATATATGCATTTGAAAGGAACAAACCTGCTCTACAATTCTTCACTCTAGTCTACTACACCAAAAAATTCGAGAAGTTCTCCAGCATCAAATTTGGAAAACGAAAAGGAAAAAATCCATCCTCAACAACTGCTTTAAATCTCTCTCCGTTTAGGTCAAAATGCTTACAGAACAGCTCGAAAAATCTGCTGAGCTTGAGTCAAGAATATTATAGCTTCTGTAGCAGCTCAGGAGTGCTAAGAAATTTCGAAAAAATTTCTGTAATTTCAAAAAAAAATCGTCTTGGTAACGGCTCTTCAGCGTCGATGTTGGGCATCTGAAGGCAGTCCTGAAAAAGGACGGTAAACAGATAATCCAGAAAAGGCAGAAGAAATGGTCTTTCTCGACTAAAAATGGACTATGAAATCGTTGAAATTATGAATTGATTACTCATTTCAATGTTTGAGGGTCACACAGCTTAGGTACGCGAGAGTACGAACATCGCTGCAGCAAAGTCTTACTTCGCCGACTCTCGAAAAGATGGCATGGAAAAGTCGGTACAGGGAACAAGCACAAATATTGATAATATACAAACATAAGAGGCTAGTGGATTGTTTTGTCTGCTATCAAGCTTGTTGAAGAAAAATTACCAATGGAAAATGGGGAGATTTGGCGGAAAAAAATGTCGAAAATGGATTTTTGCCTCCTCAAACTTTACTCTTGATGCCAAAATATTTTTTCCACAGTATCCTATTAAATTGGGGATGACGCATAAGAATTTACTGAGCAGACTTAGAGCTTTCAAAAACATAGTTGGTTTTATGTAAGGTGATTATTACTGATAAAAAAGCGAAATAAAAAATGGAACAGAACTTATTACACAACCTAATATAATAGCAGACATTTACCGCATGATTGCTTTCCTTATAATTGGAGTTTCTCTTTTCCTTTTTCTTCTTCTTTAATTGACTATCTCTTCAGTCATTTTCATCCTTCACATCATACCTCAGTCTTCTCTTGTAGTAGCCCTCAGAAAAAACTTATGGCAACACTTGTCTCGAAAAGCACTTCACTTACCTTATGTTTTTTGGTTGTGTGCAAAGAGATAGGCTTCGGCGCACAACCTTCTTCTAAAAGTTGCTTCAAACCCTCATCGGCATCTTCACGATACTTTGGCAACTTGTAGTTGTCCACATAGTTCACTTTCAGTTTTCGTCGAAGTAACTGAAAGTAAGATTTTCAAATGAACAGGAAAACTCATAAAAATGTTGATAATCTTGTTAGAAAAATGACAGGGTTTTGGAGACACGGATGCCATTGAGTATTTATTACGTATCGGCGAAATTCCACTTGCCTCAGCCTTTCAAATTAGAACTCAAGCGACTTTCTGGTAGAGCAACTTAAACGCTACAAGACAACCTTCAGAGGATCGCTAAATGTTTGGAACACGTGAAATTTGGATCCGAGATCTAAAAATTTCTAAATGCCCGAAATTTCGGATCCCACCCAAAAAAATTCTACGGACCTCCAACTTGCTCAGGTATATGATACCTCAGGCAATTATGTATGCATTTGATGAATTTTTCCATGGCTAGAAACTGAAAACAAATACAGACCAACCTCGAAAAACCCAGAAAATGCCGATTTTTTGGATTATTCAATGTCAATGTCAAGCTCGTTATTTCTCGAAAAGTAATGCACATAGAAGGCTAAAAATTTACAGTAGTACTCACAAAGGTTTATGTTTTAGATCCGTTTATGTGGGAACAGCCATAGCTCTAATGAAAACATGCAGATTTTTATTCTCCCGATTTCTAGCATAAAAAAATACAGCAATTGTATGTGTGAATGTTTGATGTGGACATGTTATAACAAACTAGGAGTCCGTAGAATTTTTCGGGACGAAGATTAGTTTTTCATTTTTTTGAGCATTTGGATGTTGTTGAATTTCAGTTGAAACTTTGTGTGGATCGCACATGAATGTATTGAAGAGAAGATTGCTTTGCTCTATCGAAAGATACATCGATTATCATGAGAAGTTTACGATGAAATGCCTTATTGTAGTGGATATCAAAATGAAAAGACTTATGGGACATCTCAATAGTCCACAAAACTGCATCATTTGCTTTGCTTTTGAGATGTGTGAATAACTCAGATGCAGCAGTTTTGTTAGAAGCGAAGGAACGTGGAAAAACAATTTTGTAATTCATGATGTTTGGTAGTGGGATCATGTCTTGAGTAGATTTGACGGTTGATGAGTGCAAATGCACATAGCTGCATAAAGTAAAAAGTAATTTTGAGCTATTGGTAACGGGGTGGGCCATCGTTAAGATCTTCCGAAAAATTTTGTTTCGATAACCTATTCACTTTTTTACTCTCTCGAAAGAGCTCTTTAACGCTGATATTTCCCTACAATCTTCAAATTCCACGCCAGCTTCAGCATTATTAAAAGAGCAGTCGTCTGTGATGGTGCAAATCATCAGAAATTTATTTCAAGAAAAGTCATTCACCTTGCCGTCGATTTATACTTAGAATTAGCTATCCTTCACAGTACCTCACTACTCTATAGAATTAGTTTAACACGTTGACGACCGTGTGTATCCGCGCGTATGCACGCCCTGACCACCTTGTAGCACTTTCGTGCACCAATTTATCATGTGTAAACGAAAATTTCTCAGGTAACTTCTATGCAGTAATAACACTGGTGGCCTGGTTGTCATATAGAACACACGGCATTGCGGTAGCTGTTAAACCGTCCAAACCGCAGCCGTAGATCATCAGCCCATTTTGAGGTGGTCAAAAATGGCTCGGTCGTCAACGTGTTAACAATTTCACAGTACAGCGTAGTTCTGTGAGGAAAAACAGTAGGTCATAACCCAACAGCAGAGCATAATCCACATCTACAGGGCATACATAGTTGGCTAGATCTCTGCAAGTTGGGGACCGGCACATAACACTGTCTATAGGTCATTCTTAAAATCGTAACAACGGTTTGACTGCGAACTTTGCGCATAGGAGCATGAAGCACCCATGCAAAAAGGCACTCCTTAACGCTCACCTCAGCCATTTCCGTGTCTGAATGCTATCTTCTATGAGAAGAAAATCCAATAAGTAGAGATAGAAAACGAGAAAACAGCGGTTGTTGGAAGTGCGTGCGTATCGCGTGCGGTCGCGCCATCGTCACGATTTTGAATGCCCTATAACATAATTGTCGAGGACTCACACCGTAATGCCATTGAAGTTATCGACCGCTAAAATGGTGCTGGCCAAGTCTTGATAGCAAAGAAAGCATATTCCTCGTGATCTTCCTGTTTGTTTTTGTCGAAGCAAATTGATGTTCACCACTTCACCAAATCTGAACAAGTAAAAGTCGAAAACGAAAAAAAGTGTTGAAGGTTGCTTGGGAACTAACTGAGAGAAAACGGTGATGATGTCGCCCTCGGTAAGTTCATTCGATAACCCAGCAATGCAGATCCATGATGACTTGACATGGTCAGTAGCATAATTTAAGTCCATATTTTAAGCTAACCTCGGTGAGAGAGATTGTAGATTTCTTTGCGCGTTCCTAAAAACTGCATTCTAATTCATTCGCTGGATAGAAGTTCATAGACACATAACCTACGCCTGAAACTCTGAAGGAGATGCCTAAGTTTTTGCATGCGTAAAATTTGGGGAAAAAGGACGCGGGAAAATTCAATTCGAATTTTACATAGTTGTTAAACACACAGTAAAACTTGCAAAACTCGATATATTACTGGCATTGGCGGCACCAGAATTTTTGTTTGGTGGGGGCGAGGAGGGTGAGACGATTTTTTCCGAACAAATGTGCGTGGCGTTAGCTACACACTCCGAAAAATTCCTTGATGCTTCTTACTTTTTGCGGGCCCATAACCCTGAAGGGCAGCAGCCACGCCCCCGAAAAAAGCTTTATGGGGTTAAATTGCATTTTTAAAAAAGTTCAAGAATTATGCCAGTTGTTTACAAGTATAAACAAGTCGCTTGCACATTTTTATAACTCGTATAAGTGATTTTCAAATTTTTCGCGTCCCATTCTCGGGGGGGGGGGGGCTCGCCTCGCTGCAGTAATAAACATAATTAGACACAACTTGTTGTTTGTACATCTACATATTTATGACAACTGTCAATATTTTTGAGTAGATTTGACGATTTTTCGGTGGCTTTTTTAGATACTTGTCATTATGAATCATTAAAATCGTTTCAAAATAGAGTAAAGTTGGTTATTCCATGCTTGCGCCTGAAAATGCTTACTTCTCACAGCTGAAGAATCACCTCCAAAGGACTTAAAGGCAGTGTCCGGGCAAAAACTCGATTTTGAGATTTTGTGCTTACCCGGGCCTATTCGCTATGCTGAATCCGAAAATCCACATTGGAGAGCGCGAAAACGACGAAAAAGGGCTCTAACACTGGAGGGAAATCAGCAAGTGGGCGGGGTCTTCCCCACTGTGAATTCACGCTCCCAGCTTCGGAGGCGACCTTTTTGATTCCGGTTTCAAGTCATTCGTTTGCACTTGATCGGTATTGATGTCAGGGCGGCTAACGGATTCGAGAAAATTGCTCTGGAAGCTGGAGCGTGAATTCACAGTGGGGAAAACCCCGCCCACTTGCTCATTTCCCTCCAGTGTTAGAGCCCTTTTTCGTCGTTTTCGCGCTCTCCAATGTGGATTTTCGGATTCAGCATAGCGAATAGGCCCGGGTAAGCACAAAATCTCAAAATCGAGTACTTGCCCGGACACTGCCTTTAACACCTCAGCTGATCCCTCACTCTATAATTCTATGATTTCTCCGCCAAGTATTTATGGATTCGTTTATAACCCTTCCAGAATCGATTCTACAACTGCACTTTCGCGGCAGTCAATAAATTCATGGAGCTGCATTCAACTGGTTTCAAAATGTATTGTGCAACTGTGTTTTAAAGTCACAATGAATCTACCACAAACACAAATAGAAAATGTTTCCTTCTGACTACAACTAGATGATAAAAATAAATTATTTGACTGATCTGAATGAGATAAGCACCTGTTCTAAAGGAGGTTATGATGCTCTTCCTTCGACCATAAAATACGGAAGCTTGTGAGTTTCTTTCCAATTCAAATTGTCAAAAAGAGTTCGCGAAATCTTCAAATTGAAACTAGCTTGATGCTGTATTATTCGGAGATTGAACTTATGTAGATGTTGATTTCCGGGAGCAAAAGCTGACGACTTCAAAAATATTCGGGTATAACGGCCGTAAACACTTCACTTGGAAAAAAGAAATCGCTATCTTTCCCGCTCCCCCTCCTGTAAGGGCGGAAACGTAAAGAGGCGCGATTTTTCGGCCTTAGCATAGATTCGTTCCCAGCTTAAAGTTTAGACTGACTATTTCTAATTACTTGTTAACCTATATGCATAAACAAAGAAATAAACAATGAATCTCATACGCTTAAAATATGAATAATACTAAATAAAATTTTCATAATTTAAAAAGTTACAAAAGCAAATAGACAGCAAATAAACAACTGCAGTTATAACATGTTAACCTTACGCATACACTTCAAATACCAATGTAATTTTTTTCTTTTTATTATATTTACTTTTCTAATCATAATAATAGCATTAGTTTATATTAATATAAACTCTATTACTAATTTACAACATTAATAACATTAAACATAAATAATAATATCAATATAATCTAATAGTATAATTATATTTATACAAAAAATACTATATTTAGATTAATGCTATTTTTCCTAATATATCATAACCACAAATTTATTTATCAAATATATTTACTTATTATAAATTAATTATAAATAACCAAAGTTAAAATAGGTAAGTTTATTTTTGTTATACCGTAAGATATTGTTTTATTGCAAATACCTTACAAATTCTTTGATAAGAGGGCCATACCTCTTGTTCTAAAAAAATAGGGGGACACCATGATGGGTGAAACCAGTGGGGATGTGGGGACCTGGGGGATACCCCCCCTGCGACTCCATGGGTCCCGTTTACCTCATTTGTAAACCAAAGTTATCAAAACTCACTAAACAAAAACAAGGTCGGTCATGAACCCTGGCAGCAGCCCTGCCAAATCATTATCTCCCACACTTCCTAGGGTAAAGACCTGCCGACTAGGAAGTTATTTAAGTGGTCTCGAAAAACTACGTCTTGCAATGCTGATAATTATTATAAACAAACACATTTTCATAAAAGTAAGGTTAACAAAATGTACACACTAGACAATTTTGGTAACAATGACATCACAACTGCATGTTGTTCTAAATGTGTCATTTGTAAACAAATGGATCACAATCCATATATCATAAGTAATTCTACAAAATTAAAAATATACACATTCTGCACAAATAATAGCAACTGCAAAAATAATAATGTCATCTATTGCATCACATGTAATGAATGCAGTAAACAATATGTAGGTTTAACAACTAGAAATTTAAAAAGCAGGATAAGAGAACACTTTTATCATTTAAAAAAGAATGATTTATATAACTTTCTATATAATCACTTCAAAACATGCACAAATAGAAGTATAACAGTACAAATACTAGACAGTTTAGAAAACAATAAAGACAAGAATGTTTTGATAAATAAAGAACTATTCTGGATTAAATTACTCAACACAGCATATCCATTTGGATTAAATGACAATATTAAAGGATATGGGAATATATCCAATATTGATAATCCTCTTTTACAAAAAGAAACACATCCGTACTATAGTTTAAAAATAACTAAAGACAGAATACGTAGCCAATACAGACATAAAAATAAAAATAAAGAAACACTAAATTCATTCTTGAATACTATTAATAGTAAAAGCACACTACAAGATTTATTTCAATATATCCATTCATTGAAAAAAAGTTTCATAAAACAAGTAATTGCAGCATGTTTTGATCCCACATTTCTAATAAAAATTGAACAGAATATAAAAATAACTGTTCTTAGTATACTTTGCAAATTCATGTTCAGTTACAACAAAAAAGAAAAACAAAATATTAATTATAACAATATCAACGTTGAATTTATCCATAATATACTAGACGAAATTAACCTTAATAAAATTATTAATAATAATTACATAAAAAACATTCTCAAAAATAACAAAATAAATTACAATCCATGCAGACTTGTATATAAATACAGAAATCCAATTTCTGTGCAAATTTTTAATTACAATTCTATTCTTACTAAACTTGATACAAACGAAATAAATCAAATTCTCACTCAAAAATGTAAATGTAAAGAATTACAGATGGCACAATATATTGATAACAATCATGGACATATCATTACTGGAAACCTTGAAATAGTGGAAGACAAACATTTAAGATCCATGATAAAAAAGGTACTAAATACAGGATACCTAACCACGCCAGTAAAAAAGAAATAATAGATTGGATCCAGTCAACGGTTCAACTCATTATGAATACTTACATCAAGAAATACAAACTCAAACTTGAAAAGCTTAAAAACATAGAAACTTTTCTTTTAAAAAAATTAAAACTTAGATTTAAACCACTTCTTTATAAAGCCAGACTAGAAAGTAAACAAGACCCAAACGAACAAAATTACAATTTTGAATGTAAATACATAAAAAACCTTAAAAATCAATTTGTAATTTGTCCACTTGATAAAGCAAGTAATAACTTCGGTATTATTTGTAAAAAATTCTACATACAAACAATAATGAAAGAATTAGGAATTACATCTGATAAGAAAAATAAAGTTCTAAGTGAAAATGAAACATATAATTTATATGAAGAAGAAAATGCTAATGACATAATAAAAAGACACATTGACTTTTGCAAAAATAACAAGTTACCACTACAAAATATTAACAACATACCATTACTATATTTTGTACCAAAACTCCATAAAAACCCTACCAAATTCAGATTCATCACCGGAGCTACACACAGTAGCATTAAACCCCTTGCTTTAGAATTACAACATGTATTTCAACACATAAAAATACATTTTAAAAACTATGTACAAGCAATTAAATATAAAAAACAAAATTCATATAATTATTGGTCAATAGACAACACTAACATAAGTGATAAACTATCCAGTATCAACATGAATAACTTGCAATTATACTCAGCTGATTTTACAAATATGTTTACTAGCCTACCACATAACATAATAAAAACCAACCTCAAAGAACTTCTGAAATTATGCTTTTAAAATGCAAACAAAAAATATCTAACTTATAATGGATTCAACAAAATATACTACACCGATAATATAAACACAAAATCTAACTACAGAAACTACACCATTTCAGATTTATTATATTATATTGATTATATTCTTGATAACAGTTTTTGCAGATTTAGCACATACATTTTTAAACAAAAAATAGGTGTGCCACAAGGCGGTAATTTTAGTCCATTATTAGCAGACTTGACACTATCTTGGTATGAATACAAATATATAATTAATAAAGTAAATAACAATAAACAACTTTTTGCATTTCGTTATATGGATGATCTATTAATCATACACAATATCACAGAACAAAAAGTTCACAATATGATCAAAAACATATATGATAACAAACTAAGTTTGGAAACTACTCATATAGATAATTTGCAATGCAATTATTTAGACTTACATATTACAATCATTAATGACAAAATCATGACCAAAATGTATAATAAAACTGATAGTTTCCCTTTTCAAGTAAAAAGATTTATACACATTAGTTCTGGTGTATCCAAACACACTAAAAATGCAATTATTTACACAGAAACTTTAAGAATTGCCCGTACTTGCACTTATCTTGACGATTTTATCAAAAAAATAATACAGTTACGAAATTTACTTATTTGCAATGGATACAATGAGAATATGATTTACTCAAATATTTTCAAATGCTTACATAAAAATAATTTTATACTATATAAATACAAATTTTACAATTATGATAAAATTAAAAAATTATTACACATTCTACATCATAATCTACACAAATTATAGTTAATTAATATATGTCATACACCAGTCTATAACTATACAAAATCATTCGATTCTAATCAATATTACATATTTTAAATCAATATAGTTATTTAAATATAAATCTACTATAAACAACCAACTCAGTAAAATAATGCATCAAAATGAGCCATGTCATAATAAATAAATTCAACTACAAAAACACTAGCATGTTTCATTTTATTCTTTCATCTACCAATATATGGTCACTACTCTACTATATAGTATATAATCAATACAAATGATATATCATATATTACTATTGTTAATAATATATTATAATATAAGACGGAGTATATATAAAAAATGTAAGTTGTCAAATTTTTACAACAATTTTATAAAAATTTGTCTTAAAACTGTTTTAAAATATACATAGGACTCATGAACTCTCCTTCCTTACTGAGGAGTTCCGGGGAGAGTTCTGAGCTCCTTTACTCCGTCTGAGGAAAGGAACGAAACGGAGTATTCCAAAAAACCTCTTTTCTTTTATTCCGGGAGCAAAAGCTGACGACTTCAAAAATATTCGGGTATAACGGCCGTAAACACTTCACTTGGAAAAAAGAAATCGCTATCTTTCCCGCTCCCCCTCCTGTAAGGGCGGAAACGTAAAGAGGCGCGATTTTTCGGCCTTAGCATAGATTCGTTCCCAGCTTAAAGTCCAATCCGGTAGTTTGCAGATCTTCAGATTCCAAAGGGGCGCTGGCTGCTAACTGCAGAGGAATTTCCAAAAAACATCGCTGATGTATCATTTATTCTATGACTAGGAGACGTGAGACCGCATTGCGGACATCGTCACAAGTTTGAATTTGTTCTTCCCTGTTTCCAAAAAGTGCATAAACCTGGACGAGATATATCATATACATAACAAGTATAAACATGCTAAGTGCACGAGCAGGCTTGTTCCGGCAATGGTGTAATGCGGTCCCGTTCTAGCATATAACGGATGGTATCTAAAGGCAGCGTCCAGGCAGATTTTCGACTTCTATATTTTTATGTCATCCAGGCCTTTCCATGGCGCTGATTCCGAATATGGAACTCAAAAAGCGTGAATTTCTCAGAAACCGCCTTTTGGGGCTATTTTGGGAAAATCCGGACGAGTGCTTTTGATGTTATCCTTGTCGAAAGCAAGTATTAACAGTAAACACTGTAAGTTCGACTGTGTTGGTCATGTGGAAACACGTCAAGGCTGAGGAGATTTCGTTCATAAGGGTTTGGCCGTCCGAGGCAAATGGGCATGGTCGTCGAGCTCGGATCTGCCTGGACGCTGCCTTTAAAGGCAGTGTCTCACCAAAGTTGAGGTTGCGCGGATCTTCACATATTTCAGTACAGGGACCTTTAAATAGGCCATTGCAACAAGTCCCACTCAATTTGACCCCCTCCACGCTGAGAAAAATTCCCTCAAAGTGGTACGCGAAGAGCGAGTTGGTACGCGCGGACGACTCCTTCGGTCTCCCCCCTACGCGTTTGAACATGTCCCTCCACTTGGCATCCACCTCCCCTCGGAGGGCAAGCGTTAGCCGACAAAACGTGCAAAACGCAATTAACGTAAAGCCGGTAAGTCGAAACAATGCGCCATTTTTTTTTTGATGGCGTCGAGTAATGTATCGGCCCCGACCCCCACCCCCCTGTTTTTGGCGGAGGAGACGTTTTGCACGGGGAGTTTTCTAGGGTCTAAATAATCGGGTTTGTTGCCTAACGCCCTACACCCCCTCCCCTCTGTTGCTGCCATTGTGGCTGAGGCTGTAGTTGGAAGGAACAACTCGTCCACTTCGCTTCCGAGGGGCCTCCAGAAAACGGGGTTTTTGGGAACTTCATGCGATTTTAAGCCCATACAGTGCTAGACAGGGTCCGACAGGCTTGCAAAATGCAAAAATCTCGGCAACTAAATTTTGGTGAGACACTGCCTTTAAGCGCGATTGAATCCATTTGAATGAAGATGAAGTTCTTGTGACTTTGTCCAAAAAATCATTTCGGATAATGAAAATGTGGCTTGAATCAGGTATTTCAAGAAGGATCAAACGTCCCCCCCCCCCCCACAGTCACCATTTTCCCTTACCAACCCTTCATTTGGGTACCCTAATAAAGCACAAGATAAAGAATCGGTTTTATATGAAATCTGAGCCAAAACTGGAAAGCTAAGAAAGGCACAACTGCAGCACTGTGCTGATTCTCAATGCAAAGGTTTTCGAAAGGAGACGACGTGGACGGGTTGTGACAGGTGCTCCACGGCGTACGCGCGAAATCTCTATTTTCGATTGCTACGCTTCAAAAAGCTGGCGCTTTCACACCCGAATTTTCATCCCATTTTGGCATTCATCTTTTAGCTTCCTTGCTTTCTTTGTATCGTACCGTTTTTTTCGATGTTTATACTGCTAACGATGCTAAATAAATCTTTTGGCTTTCAAGCATTTCATGTTGTCGTTCCAGGTGACAATGGTGGAGCACATCATGCTGCCATTAAAGGAAGAGCATTTAGCTCCCATATTGGATCGTAGGGATCAGGTCGTCGACGCAGTCCAATCCATATTGCCTCATGCCAAGATTGAGAAGGGTAAGTTTCTGCAAACGTGTTTATTTCTGTAAGTTCATAGCGTCTTCGTCGTTTTTCTGTTTTTACTCTTCTGAGTTTTCTTCATCTTTGAGCTTATTCTAGGCAAGTTGATAACTTTGACGATGCGTTGTTGGGACTGTTGCTGTAATTACTTGTCAAAGTTATCAACTTCTCATAGTGTGCATTTGATTTGTAGTTCTTAAGCATGCCTAGCTTTTGCTATCACTTTTCCATCTTGTTTTCCAGGAACTCGCACATTCAACGAGAAGCTCAAGCAATTGCAACAACTGATGAACGAATGCAGTATCATTAAAGCAGAGCTTGATCAGATTCCCCCACTGGAGCAAGCATATACTGGTATCGGGGATGTCTTGAGGGTAAGCATTTGTTGTTTTCTGGACCACTCCTTTTTCGTCATTTAGCTATCACTTTTGAATTTGCTGCCTACACTTTAGAAAGAGAATCTATTAGTTGAATATCCTACGCCATCAAATGTAGAAATCTCTGCCAAATCGACATCTGCGAAATCAGATGATGTTGCGCCTGTGTCTGAAATATCAGAACAAGCTATCACTGCCGCTGCTCCTGAGGTACGCGTAAAATACCAATTGGCGAACACGATCAACTGCTTGGTGTTCCAGGTTACCGAAGCGGATCGCACCAGAATTCTCAAGCCTATCAGCGCTCAGGAGTTTGCAGATATCCCTAAATACATGAAAGGACGGATGACTTGCGCAGAGCTCAACGAAGTGAGTATATACGGTTTGTTATGGTGTGTGTAATTTGAGACTTTTGAGATCGTCTCAAAGTTGGACGAATTCTTGTCGCAGAAGCGTCGTCTACTGAATGCTCCTTTCAAAAAGTTGCCTATGAAGGACAAAGATCAAGTGTCGAAGTGGAAGGAGCAAGTGAGTTGGAATGTTTTGACTTACGTATGCATTCTTCACGATATGTTCTCATTTTATCCCTTTTGGACTTTGTTTTTATTCAAATATTTGGACTTTGTTTTTATTCAAATATTGATTCATTTGTCACATATGTTGATACTGACTCTAAAAGTTTAGAAGTTCTCTACTTTTTTCAGAGATTTGTATCCATGTTCCTAGCGCGTACACGTGCACGCACAGTTAGTGCTGAGATTGCTTCAGGAAAGCATCTTTTGATTGCTACCATCTTGATTGACTCTATCTATTCGACCTCAAACTATCTTTTTATCTATTTCTTTGAAGCAGTATATGTGATTGATTTTATTTTCCCAACCGTTTTTGAAATCTCGTTGTGTTAAATAGTTTTGCAAATATGATAGAAGAAAATCTCTCTACTTGAACAAGTTTATAGTGCTTACTTTATCTTGTAGATATACTTCATCCTTACATTTATGCCCGCCCCCCCCTTGTCAATGACAGACTCGCCTGCTCATTTGGCTCGTGTGCCGCGCAGCTACCTCACTTGGACCCTGTGCCACTTTTGCAGACGTATTATGCTCGACTCTCCCACCCCCTTTAGCAATCAGTCGCCGTTGAGGTTTCTGGAAATGTCCAAAGGGTGCGTCACAGACGTGGCGCAAGGTTCAAGCAACGCGGCTACGCGAAACCCAAACCGCAGGGTGCCACTATCATTGAAACAGAGAGTATGCCTTTTTTCGGAATCACAGATTTCTTTCAGGAGACTGCTTCTCTTACTGGAAAACTGTTTTGCCAAGAAGCCGATGTCAAGCCAATGATGAATGACCGCAGCCGAGCCCTTTTCCGCACAGCAGCTCCTTGTCTACGACATGTGCATCGCATTCGAGAAGTTCGCGAGAAAGGACGTGTGTATCTATTACCTTACTGAATTGGTTATCATTGTCCATGTGTATCTACTAGATCTGATAATTCAGCCTTTGTGATTTCTTGCTTGAATCGTTTACGCTACTTGATTTCTCACTGCCAAAATCACTTGTATTCAAGCAAGTATTTGATGTGTACAGCCAAATAAATAATATTGGTATCCTTATGTGACATCTCCATCGTGGTGGTTGTTCCTCTTGTTATCCGTTTATGTCGTAATACTCAGTGGTCTCAGACTTAGGTTGTATTCATATCAGAAAAGATGAGTGACGAGAAGTATGAGATCAAACGCATATTGGCTGAGAGAAAGGTCGAAGGTAAACCAGATAAGATGGAATATCTGGTAGACTGGGAGTGAGTTTATATTGTTTTATTTACCTTCTTTATTCATGTTTTTTCAAAGATAGCATATTCTTTGCTTTAAGGCCTACTTGGGTTTTTGACACGGATATGCATGCTAAACTTCTGGATGACTACCACTACTCAGTGGTGGTACTTGGTCCTATGAATACACCCGAAAACTGTCAGAAGAAACACATCAGAGAAATGGATATCGTTGTGCAGAGGTAGGAACAAGTTCAAAAGTCTGGCGATTCATTTGCCTCGCAGTTAATGCGACATTATCTGATGGTTTCCATAGTAGTTCAAGTACGTAGGATCCCAAACTAATTTGGTCGTTGTCGTAAATTTGAAAACAGCGATCGCTTTCACATTGCAAAATGATCTTCATTTATTAGCTCGGAGTTCTTTAATTATCTCATCATTTTTCAGGGAGAGCAAAAAGGACAAAGACAACATGAAAGATGCAGTTATTCTCGAGTTGATGCCCTATGAACAGGTGAATTTCGTCTGTCTCTAATGCGCTCTTTGCGGTAAATTGCGCAAGCATCACGTCTTCAGTTCCATTTTCGGCCCATTTTTCTACTGTGCAAATCCAGGTAATGTTATTGCTAGGACACTGTAGCTGCTCATTGAGCTGTCAGCAAATTATAATCTCCTAGTTTATCCGTCGAAGTAGGTGCTGCTCATTGAGGCACATGTGGTTTGTGGGCGATGTCTTTACATTTATCGTTGCGCGGCAGACGGACGGAAATCATAGGCAGTTCTAGACTGCTTCCGAAAGGATTGACAGGGTACCAAAATGCTGACACCAGATTAGGTTTTCTGTACAAAATTGATGTCGCTGACATTTTTAGCTATAGAAAAGTGTAGTGTCTCGCCCCCTACCTCCACCTCTATCCCCCGCTTTAAAGCACTTATCCAAAATCTGGGCGCAGGTGAAGCGTAGAAAGAGTTCTTAGAGGTGCTGTTCGAATGCGTATTTGGTTTCAGTGCAAAAAGACCCAAGAATGTCATAAAGTTGGAAATTGACACTTTTTTGAGCATAATTACTTTGCATAATCATCTATTGGCCGATTTTCTCTGAAAAGCATGGGATAAAAAACCAACTCTTACAAACGTGTCCCATTTTCTAATCCTTATGTTATGGGTGATGTGCTGTTGAGTCAATAACTCTTTTTATATAATGCTTCATCCAGTGATACAAGGCACACGGTGAGTTCATTTATGTAGAAAAAGGATTAAATCTCAGCCAAAGCGAAATGTTTGCTTATGACAGTTCAAGGTCCATTCTGCTCCTGTAACATAGTAAAATTCTTCTTACTTCAACGAAGTGTAGTTGCTTAGACCCTCTATTCAGAACGATCTACATCTTCGCTAAAAATTTCGCTTGCTTCATCTTCTTGTAGTGAGGTTGGCCATCTGCTAAAGCATCACGTCTACGTTTCTTTGATCTTGGGGAAGAAGGAAATCATTTTTCTGCACGTTTTGTGCTCGCAAAGAAGATGCTCCTTTTCAAATAGCTTTGAATGGTAGAGAATCGGCACTGTGAAGTAAGTCCTCCGAAAAGGCTGGATGTCGTGATCTGCCGGTAAAAAAACAGCAACGTTCTTTGAAGTAGCACATAAAAGTAGTGTGCCCCATTCGTGATCTGACATCATCAATTGCTCGTGTGGTTTTTTTAAACAAGACCGTTGGAGACGGCATCCGGGCAAATCATATTTATTTTTTCCTTTTTCAAATTGAATCCTGATTGCACCAAGTCTGGCTGTAAGCTTCATTTTTTGTTGCAACGATCCGTAGGTAAGTCGATCATTAACTCTCAACGCAAGGTTACCTGGACCATCTCTGTTCAAAATTAACTTTTCAATCAAGGCTGTTTACGCATCACTTGAGTACCTACAATTTTGAGTCTAGTGTCCTCTCGAACTTACGCACTTGGTTTGGCTTTTGAGTGATAAGTTGGGGTTAGCCGCCCGACTTTCGGTTTTTGGAAAAACGAAAGACATTCAGATGTTGTGCTGGTGCTCAATATTATAGAAAAATCTGTTTTCAACTCTTTTGTGGGTATGCAAATACTGTTCGTGCTCTGTATGTATTCAAACTCGCAACCTTACCAACTTATATAAAAGGCTGTGGAGCTGCACGCTTATGAAGCCGAAGCTTATCGATAGATCTTGACTGTGTTTTTGGTAGCAGTGGAGCTCTCTCATCCATTTTACACTCTAGAATCTCCATCTTTCACTCCTTCCGGTCATTTATAAGCTATGGAGGCTGGCATGCGGGATATGTGCTCGATGCGGAGGAGATTTGAGCGCATGCATAGACTACTTTTGGAAACTTACGAGAATGATACCCGAAAATTTGCGCCTAGAGGAATAGAGGAATGCCAACAAAAATTGTTTAACATATTGAGACTACCGCATGGGACTGCTTGACATACATAATATGGAAAGGCTTATTACTCCAAAATGACGACTGCCTTTGCAGAAACTCGCTTCAGGAGTCTTATTTTGGCAGAATTTGAATATTTTCCATCAGAATTACTGTAGGTATACTGTAGTTGACAGTATACGTGGTTTTGTCTAAAAAATGTTGCCTTCTTCGTGAAAGACTCTGGTTCAGGAGCCAAAAACTTAGGTGGGCCATTAACGTGTTAAGGGTGGCCTTATCTACTCTCTTCGAAAAGTTCGAGAGGCCTTAGACTTTCTGCCGCAATTTTTCTTCTGCACTTGCAAAATATGCATAATTGTGTAAAATTGATCACAGTTTAGAATAAGATGCATAGTTTTTTTGCTATCCTGCATCCCTCACTGAAGAGTTGCATGTTTTTTAACGAAATCACGTTTAAAAATTCCCTACCCATAGTTTTTACATCTTCACTGACCGCCTGAAACATCCAGTATCTCGCATTTTTCGCGAGGTTCTGAGATAAAACATTTTCCACATACTTGAGAGCAGCCTCATTGCCTCATTTCCTATCAGAACTCAAAGATTACTCCATAGGTTGTAGGTGAAGAAACTCTATCCTGATGAGCTGTTTGCATACATTGAATCCACATGCAGTATTCCTGAAGAAATGTGTCAGCCCTACGAGAAAACGGAGACGAAGCCAAAAAAGAAGAGGACCAAGACGAAAAAAAGGTCAAAATCTAAGAATACATCCCAATAAAGTCGATATCGTGCAAAGCACAAGCATCGAGCTTTTCTGTTGTTCGTGGTGAAGACAGCGGATTGGTAAAGGAAGTTTTCCAAATGTCAATATTGCGTTGTATGAATGTTCATAATAATCTGTCAAACAATGTGTATGTAGATCATGTCTTTGTTGCATTTTGTCAATCGTTATTGCTCTTTCATAACAGTTCATTTTAATTAAGTTTTTTTACATGGTTTTGTGTGATGATGATGGTCTAGCAAGCGAAACATCTGAAAACACAGTCAGAAAAATCACTCCATTAGTTTAGGTTAAAGGAAGGACTTAGTGAGTGAAAGTCGAGAAAAAAGTAGCCTGTCTTTGTCGTGCACTGTAGTTTGTACCCCTATAAACAGTAAAATTGAATTTCTGCAACTGCTAGAGCGCTGCAAATGGACCGTGCTTTAAAATTAGTACTCTGCGTTGATACCACTGCTT